AGTACGTAATTGTTGAATATGGGACAGTTGCCGCAGTAGGACACCCCGAACGCCATTTGTATTTTTAGCAACCTACATAGCCCGGATCGTTTTTCGGCCTCGGTGCACTTGTACTTTTCCGGTGTACCCGACCGTTGGGTGAGGGCTTTGGTGGTGGGGTTGCCATTGGCCTCGAGATCGATGTTTGAGATACTGAAGCCGTTTTCGTCTACGATGTACTCGACAGGGGTTGCCATCTGTTTATAGGTTAGGTTGGGTTAGGTTAAGGGTGTAGTAATTAAATATTTACAAAATAAATACAAACTGTAAATTGTTATGTGTGTAATATTAATAATGTTTTTTAAAGAGTTTAAGATTAATATTATTGGTTTAGGGAACTCCTATGTTTTATGAATTTTAAAATTATAAAATAAATTACAAATTATTTTGTTCATTAAATAAAAATAGTAATAATCAAAATTTATTTAAAATATTTTGTTCATAAAACTTATAAATAATACTTAATTAAAAGGAATTTTCTGTATTATTATTTATATTTTATAAACAATTTATAATGATTTGTATAATATTTTAACAAATTATTTAAAAATTAATATCTTTTATGATCAAAATTTTTAAATACCTTTAATTCAAACAATTGGTTCCTTTGATAGAAATTCATATAAAATATTTGACACCAATAATAGCCACACAAATGCGGCTGTTATTTAAAAGTAAAATATAATTCCCGACTAAATAATTAAAGCATTTCGTAGAATATTCTGTAAAAAGTCACAAAAACTAATGAAAACCTATTGTTTTATATAACACTATAATGTTTAAAAAGTTTTGTCATACGACTGTATAGGGATCGGTGTGTATTAAGTATGACAGAAAATATACAATAATAATTAATTTACTTGTTGCCCACAAAAATAGCAATTTTCTAGTATTATACTCAATAAATGGACTATAATTCTGTGTGTATTTTGCAAAATTACTCTCTTTTTATATACAGGTATATATCGATTACTAGTATTATAGGCATAGAAAATAAATTATTAAATAAGTTTAATCATGAATATTAGGGTTTCGCACTAAAAGCACTTTAATCTCTCTCTCTCTCTCTCTCTCTCTCTCTCTCTCGACATTATATAATAAATTATATCTCATGACTAACTTCTAGTAAATTGTGGGCAAATATTTATTTTCATGTTATGTCAATAATAATATGTTAAATTTAATAGAGTTTAATAGACATTAATGTTAGTAAAACACTCACTAGTATATTATTGGGTATTAATACACCACTTTAATTAAAACTGACTTTCCATTTGTCAATATTGGAGCTATAATGATATTATTTGTAAGCTTTTATTATCAAGAGTATTATTTAATAATTAATTTCAAATATTGCTCACTAAACCATTATATTGTGTATAACTTTTAGTCCGTAAGGTATTTATGGCAATGGACTTGAAAATAGAAATTTAGTGCACTTTAAGTGCAATATTATAATTAGCTACAACAATATCATATGAGCGAGTTATATCATGATACATAAATATTGTATTATAATTTTTATTAAAATGGACATTTCTAATATAAAGTATTTTGTGTTATACTAGTATGTTAGCAATGTTTCGATGTTAGCAAAATAATTGACATGTTTTAGTGCAGACTTACGTCAGACAATGAAATATTAATAAATTATTGTTGATTTTGGTCAAAAGTATACAGGTATATAACGGGCATGCATAATAAATAAGCTTAGATTAAAACATATAACTATAGTAAATATTATATATTAGTTCAATAATAGTGCAATTTTAGGGCACTAGCAATATATTGTTTATTTATTACACCCGGAAGATATAAATATCCAGTTTTATTTTTGTTTGAAATATATAATTCTCAGTAATGTACTATTATAAAATACAAGTACTGTAATATTGACTAGTCGTAATTAAAAATTATAGTATTAACTTTATATTACAGTGTATTAAATATTACACTATTAATCTTAACAGATATTTATAAAATTTATAAGATTTAAATATAAAATACTTTATAACAAATAGATTTTAGTTTTAAATATAATATTACGTAACAGGTTTGTCGGTAAATTTATTTATAAATTTTTACTGGTGATAATAGAAACAATTTAATTTTAAAATAAAAATTTTATTGAGTAATACATTTTAATGTACATAATAAATACTGATTTGAAAAAGTAAACATTTTTGTTTTTAAAGGCTAATATTTTTAAAAATATTTTCATTTTTAAAGTTTGACAATATAGAAAATAAAAATTAAGTATTGTATAAATGAATAAAGTAAAAATAAAATGCTTGGATACTTAACAAAAATTTAAACACTAGTCTGTATGAGAATAATAGCATAATTAGTGACATAACCCATAATCGCCAGTATAGTCACAGTCTTGAGATCAAACAGAGACAACACTTTTAGCTTGATACTTTCCCTCATAGACATTATGATATTCAACTGCTTGTAGTAATCTACCCGGCCACCATCACCATAGCCACTGTCCAATATCAGGATCTTTTCAACCTCTTTACACAAGTCTGCCATTGAGTTGATCATGAGTTGGGAGACATAACACACGGACACGATATCCGACACCGATATTAAACCAAACCCTATGATCCCTATTATAGCGTTCACGGGAATGCCTACCAGTGATACCACGCAAACACATGTGGACATAAAAATTGCGTTTGCGAACACCTTGATCAGCATAATCACCCCGATCATGTCATTAATGGTCTCCAGTTGGTTACGCAAAGCCCATATACCCTCGCACAGCACCTGAATCTTAATGGTGCGAGTACGGAGGTTTAGAGTCCAATCTATTTTTAATAATAAAGCTTAATAAAAATTAATAAATAATTAACTAGTTATTTTTGACAATATAAACTTTAAAATCTAATAAATATCACCATAAAAATTTTAATTGATAGTATTTTAAATATGATTATAAGTCTAATAGATATTATGAAGATTTATGAACATTATAATAATTTTAAAATTTAAATATTTAGTTGCTTATAACTACCATAAATAGTTTGCTAGCTTAATACCATAATAGTTTCATATAAAGTTTTTAATTTATATTTGACACGTTATAATTATTAAGATATAAATAAAAGTTTAAATAATTAAAAATACAAAAAAAATAATTATTATAAATAACAATTTATCTAGTTTAAGATGCGGCACCTACCCTTAATTTGCTTCTGGATGGTGTTCGCCATGAATAGCATTAGCGAAGTGACCGAAAACTTGTTCATCGAGTAAAATAGTCCCACAATGACAAAGCCGACAAACTTATACTTTTCCTTGGTGATACTCGAGTTGTCAAAGTCGGTAAAATGAACAGGCAAAAATATCGCCGAGAACAGTGCCTCGATCATCAAAAATAACATAATCTTATACGTATGACACCTGGCTATATTCGCCGACCCTTTAATGGTAACCATAGTTGATAAATATCATGGTTAGATTAAAATTTGGTAAACTGTTCAAAATTTATAAAACTAGTTAAATATAAACTACCTGTGTGCCTAATAGCCTTGATGAGTTTCCAGCCATTTTTCAATAGCATACCCTTAATCGAGAAGAATTCAATCATCAAGGATATGCCCGCAAAGTGGAACAGGATCTTGAGCACACCCTTATTCTTAGTGACCATAAATATCCGGGTGAACATGTCGTCGGAAAAGGCGTACCACTCAAACAGGGCGAACGACACGATAGTCACGCAATCGTATATAATGAACATGGTCTTCTTGGCCCTGTAGTTGTCAAAGTAGGGACAGTTGCCGCAGTAGGTGACCCCGAATATTAGTTGCATGAATAGCAGGTGACATAACCCGGACTCGCGATCTTTGTACGAGAATTTCGTGGAGTCGTTGTCCGTATTGTCCGATAGTTTTTGATGGCTTTTTCCCCTTGACTTCGTGTCCACGTTATAGGCCCGGGATTTCAATGCGAACCCCTTTTCATCCGTATTATAGTCCATCGGTTTAATCATCTGTTTGTTGTGTAATATACTTTTGTTGAAAACGTATTTATATTTTACATGTACGATGTAAGTTATAAGAAAATAGTGAGTGAGAGAGAGAGAGAGAGCAATTTTTTGTTATATAATATTATGGATAAAAGCAATATTATATTCATAAGATGCATATCGATTATAATATAACATACTTTTTAAGTTGTGTAAATAAGTTACACAATTATTAATTATTTTGATTAAACCTATAAATAAATAAATTTCAAACTACAAACCTTTTCGATAAAAATACTTTTACTAGAATAAGATGTACGGTATTTATATAATTTATAAACTGCAGTATGCAAACGATTAATAATATTAGTATATATATAGTATTTATTTTGAAAAAAACTATTTTGTATTGAAAATTAAATATTAAACATTTTAATATTTTGATGTAAAGTACTCCAAAATGTTCACAAATAATGTAAATTTTATGTAACTTTTCATCGAAATATTCTAATGTTTAACATTTTAATTTTCAATACAAAATAGTTTGTTTCAAACTAAATACTCTTTACTAAACTGTTTTTGTATATTTTCTGTAATAATATTGATACTGATGTATAATATTTAAATGCAGTATAAATGAAATAAATGTTATTTTATTAAAAAATGAATCTTACGCAAATAATATAATTTATTAATTTATAAACAATTAATATATTAATAAAGATTTATTATAATTACACATAAAATAATACTAATGAATTTCACATAAAAACAAATGTACATTAAAAGCTAATGTATATCATATTTCGCGATTTTATAAATAATTTATTTTGTTACAAAATACTGTAACTTATCACTTAATGCACTGATAAGTAAGTATCCTAGTACTAATAAAATAATATTATTATTTGTACTAAAATCTTATATAAATTATACATTAACAAAGATTATAATTCATATTTATTTAAAATCAATAATTAACATGTTATATTTAAAAGTTTTTACTTAAATATTACTTAATGCCCTTGATAATCTTATGAAATAATCTAAATTACAAACAAATATTATTTAAATAATTAGGATACTAATACCTGTATATTCAAGAATCGGTGACTTTTAATAAACTTCATGTAAATATATATTACATTTAATATCTATTTTAGATTTTTATTTATGGTATATGAATCAACAGGTTATTATCCCTTCAAATACTCATTACTAAAATAAAAAATAAATATAAGTACAAATGTATTATAAGTAATAAAATAAGTACAAATGTATTTATTTAGTATTATATCATATGACATATTATTTTAGAGTTGACTGAGTAGTTTAAACACATATTAACTAATATAGACTTATACAACAAATTGTTTTCATAGTTTTCAATGTACATAATATTTTGTATTAAAAACAAGCTATATGTCGTGTATTGAACATTATTAATTAAATAGAGAATGTATAGTATACTGTACATTTAAAAACTACATGTGTCTTATAATTGACTTGTACAGTATAATCCTATTATAACATGAACTGTGCAAATAACATTAGCGACTTAATTACTTGCAATAACGTGTAATTGTTTTTAAATATAAAACTTTATATTTGAAATTAATTTTATTATAAATAAAGTTTATACTCAATAAATATTTTTAGATAGATTTTATTCAATTAAAACAATATATTCACACAATTAACAGATGATTTTACAAAAGCAATTTTTGACACAGTACATTTATCGTATTTACACACTTCTGTATAATAAATCATATTATTATAATATTAACACTTGATATTTAATAATATTTGATATTGGACAAAAACATTTTTGATACCTGTTACAAATAATTGCACAAAAAATACTAACTTGTAAAATATTGCGCTAGGCAAACTCAAATTGATAACTGTATTAGACACTGACACTATTGTACACAATATTAAGGATACAATTTACAAAGCTAACAAACAAGTTGCATTTATATTGAAAACTTAAAAATAGTGATTATTTAAATTTTAAGCATGTTAAATTGTTACGTTTATGATTCAGAAACAGTAGTCTGTATGAGAATAATAGCATAATTAGTGACATAACCCACAATCGCCAGTATTGTAACAGTCTTGAGATCAAACAGGGACAACACCTTTAGCTTGATACTTTCTCTCATAGACAGTATGATATTCAACTGATTATAATAAACTACCCTGTCATCAATTTCATATCCACTATCGATAATCAGGGTCTGTTCCACTTGTTTACACAAGTCTGCCATTGAGTTGATCATGATTTGCGAGGCATAACACACGGACACGATATCCGATACCGACACCACAGCAAACCCTATGATACTTATTATGGCGTTCACGGGAATGCCTACCAGTGAGAGCACACATACGCAGGTGGACATGAACATAGCGTCTACAAACACCTTGATCAGCATAATCACCCCGATCATGTCATTAATGGTCTCCAGTTGGTTACGCAGTGCCCAAATACCTTCGCATAGCACCTGGATCTTAATGGTGCCCATACGTAGGTTTTGAGTCCAATCTAATTTGAATAGTTTGCAAATTTTTAATTTATATTCATTTTCAACATTTTTAATTTAATTAAATTCAATTTTGTAAATAATTTTGTTTTTACGAACTGTATACATTAAACTTATAATTATATTTAAAATTTAAATATTATCTATTTATTATTTATTTATTTTGGAACTCAATGCAGTATATGTACCTTTTTTGAAAAATAATTTCAATATAATACCTACTAAACATTTGAATATATAATTTTTACTAAATTATTTTAATTGCAATAATTTAAATGATACTCGCATTTAGGATTTTAATATTATACACTACAAATTGATCAACTTACTAAATTGTTTAAATTTTGTTTCCAAAATATTGTCTATCACACTAATATAACTAATCAAATCATTTGATTAACAATAAATGTAAATCAATGCCATTTATGGGCGCCTACCGTTAATTTGTTCCCTGATGTTAAACGCCGCGAACACTAACAATGAGGTGACCGACGACTTGTTCATTGAGTAGAAAAGGCCGACAATGAAAAAGCCCACAATTTTACACTTTTCTTCGGTGAGCCGTGACTTTTCGAAGTCCGTGAAATTCAGTGGTAACATGAATCCAGACACCAGGGCCATTAGCAATAGATAGACCATGATCATATAGGATGTAAAGTTTGTGTTCTTGTTTAAGCCTGTAGGTAAAAAAAATTAATTATTTTAATTTAAATTCAATTTTGAACCCTCATAAAATATATTGTGTGCAAAGTAAATGACTGATTTTATTATGAGCCACTGTTCCTAATAAATATGCTGTAGTTATAATTTAAAAATACTTTAAAACACTATTTTTATTTAATAAATATATTAATACTTTAACAAAATCATTTGTTAGTTTTAAAAAAAATCCATCAATTCATGGCTACTACAGTATCTTGCTTGAAGTAATTTTAACATATAGATAAAAATTAATATAAAAGTAAACAAAATCTAACAAACTTACCAGCATCCCTAATAATCTTAATCGTGTTGAATCCATTTTTGAATAGCATGGCCTTGATAGCAAAGAATTCAATGGCCATGGACAGTCCAGCGAATCGGAACAAGATCTTCATAACACCCTTATTCTTGGTGGTGTAAAAGATCCTGGTGAATGCATCATCGGAAAAGCCATACCACTCAAACATGGCAAATGATATGACGATCACGCAGTCATAGATAATAAGCACGGTCTTCTTAAGCATAAAGTTGTTAAATGTGGGACAGTTGCCACAGTAGGTGACCCCGAATAGCATTTGCATGAATAGCAGTCTAAATAACCCGGGATCGGGTTTAATGCCTCCATATTTTAACGGATTGTCTGCCTGTTGAGTGCGTTTGTTCGGTGACTTTGTGCCCACACTATAGCCGTGTATTTTCACTGCGAAACCGTTTTCATCCGTATTATAATCCATGCGTTTATTCATCTGTAAAATTAAAATAGTTTTAAAAATTCAGTTTTGAAATTATATTATTTATAATTTTATTTAGGCAAGTAGGCATTTGTTTGTATGGTAAACTATATAAAATATTGTGTTTTAACATAGGTAACCTTTTGAATTGAGAACATTAGTAAACTAATATAAACTAATATCTCTAGTACACAAAAAAAACCTTAAGTAATAAATATTTAAAATGTCTTTACTTTATATTATTCTTTGAGAAATACAATATAAATTAAATATTTCTAATAATAATCAGTATTACAGGATATTGTAAATAATTCATTTTTATTAAACGTTAAGAATTAAAATAAAATAAATTTGTGTATGAATAATTCATATTTATAAAAGGTTTAATAATGTTTAAACGTATTTATTAAATAATATAAGATTATTATGTGTATTATAACTAAAAAGGACTTATTTACTTACGTATAAGACAATAGTTTTAGATTAAAAAAGTTTAATGTATCTTTTCAATTTTAGCTTATTATACTATTGTTAAAATCAATAAATATATTTTTATATTTAAAACAATTTTTATTCACATTACAAATCAATACTATAGCTGCAATACAGTATATTTAAAAATTTACACTAAGAATGCACTGAAAAAGTATTACATGTAATATAGTAATACATTTATAAAACATTATTTAAATACCTAAATATTCAAGAATCGATTACTTTTAATAAACTTCATGTAAAATACATATTAGTTTTTATTTTTATTTCAATCAATACTTTCATATCCATTACACTGTCATGTAAACATACTGAATAAAATATGTAACAGTTATAAAGTATTATGATGTATGAAAATATATATAATTAATATTATGTCATAGTCACACTTGAATGATAGTTATTTTCAACGTATATTGCTTATAAATAATAAAAAGGTTATGGTAACATAAATAAATATAACATTAATAGCTTTCACTATAATTATTTTCTAAATGTTCAGAATATTCTGTAATAATATTTATTTTGCTTTATACTTTATATTATGTATAGTAAATAATTAATACAATAGATTTTATACGCTTATATTAAAGAAAATTTATTTTTTAATAATACAGTATGATCATAGCACTGTAAAAATAATATTATAAGGTGATTAAATAAATTACAAAATTATATTTGTTAAATTATTAAGATCTAAGTACTAATTTTAGTAATCTAGTTTTAACATTAGATAAATATAAAGTGTTAGATAATAAATATACAAAACAAATGAGCAAATGATTTAAAACATTAAACAAAAAACTAAAAATAAATTAAATACTAGTCTGTATGAGAATAACCGCATAATTAGTGACATAACCCACAATCGCTAGTATTGTTACAGTTTTCAGCTCAAACAGGGACAGCACCTTTAGCTTGATACTTTCTCTCATCGATAAAATAACATTTAATTGCTTACAACAATCTACCCTTCCCTCATCACCATAACCCATGTCCATAACCAGGCTGTGCTCCACTTGCTTACAAAGGTTTGCCATTGAATTAATCATGAGTTGTGAGGCATAACACACGGACACGATATCCGATACGGAGATTATGGCGAACCCTATGATACTTATTATGGCGTTCACGGGAATGCCTACCAGTGAGAGCACACAAACGCACGTAGACATGAACATAGCGTTCACGAATATCTTGATCAACATGATTACCCCGATCATGTCATTTATTGTCTCCAGTTGGTTACGTAGCATCAATACACTCTCGCATAGCACCTGGATCTTTATGGTGCCCATACGTAGGTTTTCGGTCCAGTCTGTTATAAATAATAGTTTTTATAAAATTAATAAATAATTAAATTGTAATTTTGGAGGTTGTAAACTTTTATAAATAGCAAATAACGTTGAAATATAGTAATTACATTGTATTTAAAGTGGTCTAACAACGGGTTCAGATTAATTTTTATTTATAAAATAATAATTATTTGAATACTGAAATAATTTCCTAAAACTACAAAATGGGATCTGTAATTTTTAATAAATTTAGAAACTTTAATAATTTTATAAATTATTTTGACTTTTAAAACTGTAAATATAAAATTAAGTAGATATAACGTATATTTTATTATAGTCATATCATATTTAAATTGGCTATGGTAAAGGTTAAAATGTTATTAAATAAATTCTCTCAAATTCCTAATTTTTTAGAAATTTATAATATTTACTTAAATTATAAACTTTTAATCAAAGTATTTAAAAATCACTAAATTATAAAAGCAAAATTTCTTGAGTTTCCTTGATTAGATTTTGAAAATATCAATTATATTACCAACTACTAGGTAACTACACTGTATGACACCTACCATTAATTTGCTTCTGTATGGTGAACGCCATGAATAGCATTAACGACGTGATCGACGACTTGTTCATCGAGTAAAATATGCCGACAATGAAAAAGCCGACAATTTTTAGCTTTTCTTGCGTGGGATGAGATTTCTCAAAATCCGTATAATTGACTGGTAACGTGAATCCGGATACCACGGCCATCAACACCAAATATACCATGATCATATACGAGTTGAATTTTGTAGTGTTGTTTAAACCTTAAAGATATATAAATTAAATTTTAATAAGTTTTATTTAAATAAAGTACATAAAACATTTATATCATACTTAGACAGTGCTTGATCAGACTTATTAAAAAATATTAATTATTACTTAAAAAATTATATATAAAATAACAATAAATAAAATTTTTATATTTTATTAATTTATAACACTAAAGTATTCATCACTTTTTAGTGTTTTTTAATTTTACTGGCTATTAAATATAAAAATACTTTATCTAAGGAAAATTAAATTAATTATTAAAATATTTTGTAAAATGATTGCTAGGTTGCTAGATAATTTTTAAAATTAAAAGTATTATTTACAATACTACACCTACATATTATATTTAAATAACATAATATTATTAAACTAAATAATATTATCACGATATTACCTGAAGTCCTAATGGTCCTGATGAGATTCCAGCCATTTTTAAGTAACATTCCTTTGATAGCAAAAAACTCAATAGCCATTGACAACCCGGCTAACCGGAACAGCACCTTCATGACACCCTTATTCTTGGTGGTGTAAAAGATCCTGGTGAATACATCATCGGAAAAGCCGTAGCACTCAAATAACGCAAATGATACGATGACCACACAATCGTATATAATGTACAAGGTCTTTCTGACCACATTGTTTTTGGAGTAGGGACAGTTGCCGCAGTAGGTGACCCCGAATATTAGTTGCATGGATAGTAGGTGACATAACCCGGACTCTCTGTCTATGTCCGAGCATTTAACCGGTTGTACCGTATTGTCCGACTGTTGTTCAGTGCGATTGTCCGTTGACTTTGTGTCCACACTATAGCCGTGTGTTTTCACTGCGAACCCGTTTTCATCCGTATTGTAATCCATGGGTTTATTCATCTGTAAAATGAAAATTAAGTTGTTTTTTATAAACCTTTTGTTTCACTCGTTTTAAATAATAGCAACAAATGAGTTGTGAATTGCTTTTTATAAATAGACAGTGAGTTGTGAGGCTTAGGGAGAGAGTGAGTGAAAGAGAGGGTAATGGTATTAAACAATGATTAAATTATGGTAGGATTGTCCTTGAAGTTAACGTAATGATAGTAATTAATGTATTTAAGTTTTACCAACTAAGTTAAAATGTAATTAAATGAGATGAAATTTATAAATAATAATATATCTCAATTTAATGAGTGAGTGAGAGAGAGAGAGAGAGCAATTTTTTGTTATACAATATTATGGATAAAAAGAATATTATATTCATAAGATGCATATCGATTATAATATAACATACTCTTTAAGTTGTGTAAATAAGTTACACACTTATTAATTATTTTGATTAAACCCATAAATAAATCAATCAATTTCAAACCGTATCATATCAAAATCCCGAAAATCAAAATCCCGAAAATCAAAACCCCGAAAATCAAAATCCCGAAATCAAAACCCCGAACATCAAAACCCCGAAAAT